GAGGTTTTACTGTAGAAAAAACAACTCATACATTAACTTAAGATGATCCCAACAAAGAAAGGGAAGCAATCCCAAATGCTTTCATTGACTTAAAATTATTTGACAGAGAATTCAACACTTTAATGATGGTCTGGGTAGGGTTGCCAAATCGGACTTACCTCGCCGGCAGGGGAGTCTGGGGTGGCTCCCGGAGCATGCGCGCACGGGGAGCATGCACATTACAGGGAAGTGACGTCATGACGCCGGGCACGCTGGGGGCGGGGCCGCAGCCATTTGAGGGGAAAACATAGAGTTTTCCCCTCAAATGGCTGTGGCCCCACCCCCAACGTACCCGGCGTCATGACGTCACTTCCCTGTGATGTGCACGCGGGGGTGGGGTTTCCCCCGGGGCCCGATTCCGCGGGGGTGGAAATCGGGCCTCCAAAGCGGGGGGAAATCCGCCCCCCGGGGGGACTTGGCAGCCCTAGGTCTGGGCCTAGCTGGGGCGATGGCACGCATGCCCACAGAGAGGGCTCTGAGTGCCACCTCTGGCACCCGTGCCATAGGTTCGCCACCACTGGCCTAGAACATCCCTGACAAGGGTTTGTCCAGCCGCTGCTTCAAGACGGCCAGGGAGCTGGTGCCACTGCTGCAAAACTCTGATTGTCAAAAAAGGTTTCCCTAAGATCCAGCCGGTCCCTTCCCACCCTTAGTTTCAACCCATTCTTGCGCGTCCTCTCCTCTGCTGCCCACAGGAACGGCTCCTTGCCCTCCTCCAAGGGAAAGCCCTTCCCATATGACTCTTGCTACAGAAGGTGAGGGATCTGCCCCTTGATTCTTTGTGGGCTCTCTGAAGGAGGAGACGGAGACCCCCAGAATGGACAGCAACCAAACTCTGTTCCCGAAAACACGTTGCAACTGCATTCGAGACGCGAGTCAGGCCTACCGGGGGGGGGGGAGCGCTCCGAGGGCATGAAATATTCATCCGCTCTTTTGGCCATGCTGAAATTCCACCCCACCGTCTCCTCTGACAATCATCGGAAGGTTGCAAAGCACGCAGAGTTCAAGGAGAGAAAAGGAGAGGTACCCCTTTCGGCCGGTCTGTGCCAGCTCTCCACTGACAGCCCGAAGAAAGGCTGACCTTTGAACAAACAGCATCAGACAACAAAAAAAAAGAAGAATTTTTTTTTGCTGCGTCCCTTGAACCCATTCCCCCAACGGCGGGCCTTTCTCCCAGCACAAGGAGCCGTTCCCCTGAACCAAGACAGGAAAAGCCCCTGGTATCCGGGAAGTCTCCTTCTGCCTCTGAAGGGTCTCTTGCACCAACAGGAGGGTGCTCGTGCCCAGAGAAAGTGCTGCCGTCAGCAGAACAGATCCACATAACGGCAGAACAGATCCACAGGATCCACCAGCTCTCTGCAGCACGCGGTGCCAGCGTCTCACACTCTTTACGGCGTTTCCATTTGCCCCTGTCTCTGTCTTGCTTTCCTTCAGAAGGAAGCAGCCACAAATGGACCACAGTGACTCAACCAAGGTTGCACCCCACCAATGTTCCCTGTGAAAAAACTGATCAAGTCCAATTACAGTCCACAAATTTGCTGCTGCTTCTTCTTTTTGTTTCTTTATTTTACGTCATGCAGTACTGCTGCTGCTGCTGCTTCCAACAACTGTCACGCAACTACAGATTTCCCAAGTGAACACTCTGTTTCCCTCAATGCTTCGTCAGGTTGCTTTACACTTGGAGCCCATGCTCTGCGTCTCCTACTCAGAATTAATCTTGTATTTTCTTGGCATCTGCTGGCTCTCATGATTAATTCCGAGTAGGAGACATAGCACAGGGGCTCCAAATATAAAGTGACCTGACGAAGCATTGAGGGAAACAGATTGTTTACCTGGGAAATCTGTAGTCGCACGGCAATTGTTGGAAGCAGCAGCAGCAGCACTGCATGACGTAAAATAAAGAAACAAGAAGAAGAAGCAAATTTGTGGCCCGTAATTGGACTTGAATCAATTTTTTCACAGTGAACATTGGTGGGGTGCTTCCTTTAGAAGGAAAGCAAATCTTCAAATCACCTTTCGGATATTTTTCTCTCGTTTTCATCATGGGTTGGTGGAGTCCTATTTTGCCTGGGTCCCAGATACCAAGGCTACCTTGTGACGATGGATGGGGAGGGTCACAGGATACCACACTGACCATTAATGGACTGTGTTAAAACAGACCTAGGGGACTATAGCCGTCTTTCAGAGCCAGGGTTACTAAGAGGCAGAGGTAAAGAGGAACTCTCCGGAGGGAAGGTATCCCTTAGAACAGGGGTCCCCAACCCGGTGCCCTCCAAGAGTTTTCAGAAAGTAGGCAGAACTAGATGGGACTTTTGCCCAACAAGGCTTCTACACTGGCCATTGGAGATTTGACTTCGCTGTGCAGGTTTTTAAAAACGTTGCTTTGGCAGCAGCTGAAGAAGTGTGCATGCGCACGAAAGCTTACACCCAGAATTAAACTTTGTTGCATGTGCACGAAAGCTTATACCCAGAATTAAACCTTGTTGCATGTGCATGGAAGCTTACACACTTTGTTGTATGCACACGAAAGCTTACACCCAGAATTAAACTTCATTGCACGCACACAAAAGCTTACACCCAGGATTAAACTTTGCTGCATACACACGAAAGCTTGTACCCACAATTAAACTTTGTTGCATGCACACGAAAGCTTGTACCCAGAATTAAACTTTGTTGCATGCACAAGAAAGCTTGTACCCACAATTAAACTTTGTTGCATGCGCACGAATGCTTGTACCCAGAATTAAACTTTGTTGCATGCGCACGAAAGCTTACACCCAGAATTAAACTTTGCTGCATGCATACGAAAGCTTATACCCAGAATTTGTTGGTCTTAAAGGGGCCACTGGACTTCAACTAAAATCTACACTGTGAGAGAAGGAAAACTGCATTGCCCGCAGGCTCCAAAAGGTTGGGGACCCCTGCCTCAGAGGGAGTCCTCGATCCTGCCGCCCACCGTTACGGATCCCTTCACTCAGGGCAGCGTTAGATCAGCGGCAGGCTCGCGTTCCAGCCAAAGAGCAACACCCGCAGGATCGAGCCGGTTTCCACCACGAGCAGATTCTCAACCCCTCTAGACACTGCAAACCGTGCAACTCATGGATTTGGGGGCAGGCACTCGACAGCAGCAACGTGAAACAGGGCAAAAAAGCACACGTTTTGTTTAGAGGACTCGGGGATAGACCCCCCCCCCCCGATCTGTTCCACTAACGGGCAGTGTTCCCTCTAAGCTGAGTTAGTGTGAGCCAGCTCCGTTTTTTAGCCTCCAGCTCACAGATTTTCTGCCTCAGCTGAGGAAGGAAGGCTCCAGAGCAAACTCATTTATGCAGCAGCGGAATCGTTCGCTCACAACTTTGATGCCAGCGGCTCACAAAGTAGAATTTTTGCTCACGAGACTCCACAGCTTAGAGGGAGCGCTGCTCACGGGTGCTCTTCCCCCCCCCGTGTGGGGCACTTTCTGCAGTGGCGCAAGACATCAGGGGGAAGTGCTGCTGTTGGTGGATCGGATCCACAGGATCCAACCCTAGGTATCGTTCTCTCAGCGCCTGGAGATCCAAGGGGAGAAGTCGACTCCGAGACATCGCCTCGCTTCTCCTTATTTCCTGGTAACGCGGAGGAAGAATCGCCCCTTCCAAAAATACCGCCAAAACATTCGTCTCTGCCGCTCTAAACAATGCAAGGTACGTCACGGCTATCTGCTGGACTTACACGGGTTAGGCCTCACTCCACACACCAGCACGGTCAACTTCGACAAGGTGAAATAAGCGTTCCCCTTTAGAGATTCTAGATCCTTGACCTCCAGAGGGGTTCCCCCCCCTTGCTGACCTGTGACCTCAGCAGCTCATGGGAGGGGGGGACAAGAAGAGGCAGGGGCGGATAACATCACGGTACTGAGGGCGGTTCCCAGACCACGGGCCCACCACTCTAGGCACAGTATTGGTCCCCTGTTAACTCTGTCGGGCCCAGGCCCTTAACCAGGGTTTTGTGGCTTGCGGGCCAGATTTTTTCCTGGTGGGGCTGAGGTTCTCAGTGCAGAAAGGAAAGCCATTGAGCCAATCGAAAGCTGCGACCAGGACAGATCTCTAAATTGCGAGCTGTCGGCCGCTTTAGAGGACAGTTCTCAGCGGCTGCAAGTTAATCGCTTCTGCCGGCCTAAGCAACAGTTCTGAGAACAAGCTGGCAGGTGGGGGGGGGGGAAGACTTCTATAATCAAGAAAGCTAACACTTAGGCAGAGAAACTCTCTTAAAGGAGACAAGTTTCTTAACACAGAGAAGGGATCCTAGAGGTCACCTACTCCAACCCCCTTGGCTCAGTGCGGGGAATTAATCAACTACAGCACCCCACTCTGCTTAAAGGAGCGCACGCCTTTTAAAAAAACGTTTTAAAATGATTGAAAAAAGCATTTACAGGAGAAAGTCTTGTGGGGCTGTGTCTTTAAGAAACGGGGCAGAGCCCACCAAAGCCCCCCTGTAACTACAGGTGGGACTAGGCCCCACCTAAGGCACCACTGGATCACAACTGACCAGTGAACGCGCAATGTGGAACCTTTAAGGCAGATGTCCCCAACGCAGTGCCTGGGAGTGCCATGGCACATTGCCAACACCTTTCTTGGCACCTGCCAAGTATTTTTAGGAAGTAGGGCTTTTTCCCAGCAAGGCTTTTGATTGGCCATGGAGGTTTTTTTTAAAAAAACGTTCCTCCGGCGGCAGCTGCCACCGCAGCACAAGCACTGTGTGACCAAAGATAAGCCTATTTGTGACTGGTTCTGCCTTCTGCGGCAACCGTTTTGTGGCCGCTGTTTTCCCGGCAGCATCCTTGACACCGTGCGGGATTTCCAACGGTGCCCGCCAGCTCAAGAACAGTGGGGACCCCCTGCTTTAAGGGCAGCCTTCCTCCAGGAACCCATGCCCGCTGTTCAGGCACCGAAGCTCCCGAGACCCTCGGCCCCGGCCCCCGTTACCTCGTCATCGTTCTCGACTTTGGGGTTGCTGGCCGTCCGCTTCAAGTTGCTGCTGAGGCTGATGCTGACAGTGGCGTCCGACTTGGATCTCTGGTGAGTCCTTTTGGAAGGTGAGAGCCCCGTGTCGGGCGCCGGGCTCAGGGAGGGCAGCTCCCTCTTGCGGTGGGCCGGCTTGAGCTCGTCGGAGAGGATGAGCTTGCGCAGCTTGGTCCCGCGGGAGTGGCGCTGGGTGGAGATGTGCATGTCCGAGGAATAGGCCCCCAAGAGGAGGGCGCACTGGAGGGAGAAGTTGATGCTCTGCCGGCAGCGGTGGACGATGTACGGCTTGATGGCGTCCCCGACGTCCTCGTCCATGTGGATGTACATGTTCAGCAGCTGGGGCAGGTAGAAGTCCACGTCCTCGTTGCGGAAGCAGAAGAGCCGGTTGCCGATGTACGCCTGCACCCCGGGCTCCTTGGAGTTGTAGAGGTATGAGATGGCCATGGAGATGTCGAAGAGCTTCGACTCGAACAGCCGCAGCAGCCACGACTGCTTGGCCGAGTTGTTCTTCTGACGCCGCCGGGCACTCTTCACCGTGTTGAACAGGCGCTCCTCCTCCTCCTGGATCTTGTCAGGCGGGTCATCCAGACACTTGATCTCACAGCACTCCCCCACGCTGCCGTTCGGGAACGCCGGGGCAGGCCGACGAGCGCCGGCCGTCCCACCGCTGCCGCCGCCCTTCAGCTTGATGGACCCGTCCTCGGAGATGCAGTGCATCAGCTTGACCTTCTCCAGGACCTCCTCACAGGCCTTCTTGGCCACCTCCGGGTCGATGACCGCCAGCTCGCCGACGCCTTCCGTGATGACGTCGAGGGAGGGCGTCCCTCCATTCCCCTGGGTCGGCGCCGCCGAGGAAGTCTCTTCCAAGTCGTTCGCTGACACCACGTCTAGGGTAGAATCGCTCATATCCGAGGCTGGTCTGTAATCTTTCAAAGCTGGAAGACAAGGAAAGAAAAGGAGCTGAGCGAGCAGCCTGCCGGGAGCGGACTTTCGAGGTGGAACCGTGATCCTCTTTCTACAACCCAGGACTCGTTTCAGATTCGCCCAGGTCAGACGTGACCACACGGGAAGCTGCCTTACACTGAACCAGACCACTGGTCCACCAAGGTCAGCATCGTCTACTCAGACTGGCAGCTGCTCTCCAGGGTCTCAGGCAGAGGTCTTTCCCATAGAATCATCGAGTTGGAAGGGACCTGCAGGGTCATCTAGTCTAACCCCCCGCACAAGGCAGGAAATTCACAAATACCTCCCCCCCACACACACAGCTAGCGATGGCGATAAAGGGCTGGGTCGGCGGATGTGTGGCTGCCTGGCAAAGTTGCCCGTTTCATTTCTCTCCCATCCATCATGCTGGATGGCGTTGAGAAGTGGTGATGCTTGCTGACTTTTCTTTCTGCAGGAGGGGCCATGGCTCAGTGGAAGAGCCTCTGCTTGGCATGCGGAAGGTCCCAGGTTCAATCCCCAGCCTCTCCAGTTAAAAAGGACCAGGCAGGAGGAGAGGTGAAAGACCTCCGCCTGAGTCCCTGGAGAGCCGCTGCCAGTCTGAGTAGACAATACACCAGTGGTAGACAATGACCAAGGGTCTGATTTAGCATAAGGCAGCTTCCTGGGTATGCTTTTGGGGAGAACATAAGAACATAAGAGATGCCAATGTTGGATCAGGCCAAAGGCCCATCCAGTCCAACACTCTGGGTCACACTGTGGCCAGAAATACCAGTGCCATCAGGAGGTCCACCACTGGGGCCAGGACATTAGAAGCCCTCCCACTGTTGACCGCCCCCCAAGCACCAAGAAGACAGAGCATCACTTGCCCCAGAGTCCCTATCTATACCTTGTGGCTAATAGCCACTGATGGACCTCTGCTCCATATGCTTATCCAATTCCCTTTTGAAGCCGTCCATGCGTGTAGCCGCCACCACTTCCTGTGGCAGTGAATTCCACGTGCTAATCACTCTTTGGGTGAAGAAGTACTTCCTTTTATCTGTTCTAACCCGACCGCTCAGCAATTTCATGGAGTGCCCACGAGTTCTTGTATTGTGAGAAAGGGAGAAAAGTACCTCTTGGTACCTCATTGGGCAGGGGGTTGGACTAGATCAGTGGTGGCAAACCTACGGCACGGGGGCCAGAGGTGGCACTCAGAGCCCTCTCTGTGGGCCCACGTGCCATCGCCCCAGTCAGGCCCAGACCATCATTAAAGTGTCAAATTCTCTCTGCCAAATAATTTTAAGTAAATGAAAGCATTTGGAATTGCTTTCCTTACTTTGTTTGGATCATCTTAAATTAATGCATGAGTTGTTTTTTCTAAAGTAAAACCTCAGTGTTCAGGTTAAATTGCCGTGTTGGCACTTTGCGATAAATAAGTGGGTTTTGGGTCGCAGTTTGGGCACTCGGTCTCTAAAAGGTTCGCCGTCACTGGACTAGAGGGTCTGTATGGCCCCTTCCAACTCTCTAGGATTCTATGACCTTTTGAGGCAACACAAAACAACTCCGTACCATCACCCACTGCCTGGTCCTTCTAACTGGAACTGAACCTGGGACCTCCTGCATGAATACATGAAGCTGCCACAGGAGGTGGTGGCGGCTACAAGCATGGACGGCTTCAAAAGGGAATTAGATAAGCATATGGAGCAGAGGTCCATAAGTGGCTATTAGCCACACGGTATAGATAGGGGCTCTGTGGCAAGTGATGCTCTGTCATCTTGGTGCTTGGGGGGGGGGTCAACAGTGGGAGGGCTTCTAATGTCCTGGCCCCACTGGTGGACCTCCTGATGGCACTGGAATTTCTGGCCACTGTGTGACACAGAGTGATGGACTGGATGGGCCTTTGGCCTGATCCAACATTGGCGTCTCTTATCTTCTTATGGCTTCTCTTATGTCCTTACATTAAGAGCAGAGGTCCATCAGTGGCTATTAGCCTCAAGGTATCGATAGGAACTCTCGGTCTGGGGCAAGTGATGCTCTGTCATCTTGGTGCTTGGGGGGGGGGCCAACAGTGGGAGGGCTTCTAATGTCCTGGCCCCACTGGTGGACCTCCTGAGGGCACCTGGTATTTCTGGCCACTGGGTGATACAGAGTGTTGGACTGGATAGGCCTTTGGCCTGATCCAACATTGGCACCTCTTATGTTCTTATGAAGCTGCCTTATTCTGCATCCAGCCCTTGGTCCGGCAAGGTCGGTATTGTCTACTCAGACTGGCAGCTGCTCTCTAGGGTCTCAGGCAGAGAGGTCTTTCACCTCACCCACTTTTAGCCTGAGATGCCGGGGACTGAACCGGGGACCTTCTGCGTGCCGAGCAGATGCCCTGCCACTGAGCCACGACTCCTTCCCAGTGCAAATGAAAGTCAACAAGACTACTCACCTTCCACCACCACCCATAACTTCCTTAATCGTTCATAGCTTGAAAGGGAAGGGAAGAACCATCTTTTTTTGCAGAGCCCCGCCACCTGGTCGCCTAGGAGGATCGGTGACTCGGGACAGGTGACCAGCTTTCGACAAGGTGGGCCTCAGCTGCTTTTAATCTGCCCCCCGTGATGCAAGCCATTGTGATCCCAGCAAGGCAGAGATCTGGGCTGCAGCCAGGGACACCTAGGTCCAAAATCCCACTGATGCCTCAAACTGTCTAGACGGAGACAGGCCCAGGTTCCGGGTAGTTAAGGAGAGATGGAAGTAAGGCGGCCGATTCCAGGTTGGGAAGTTACTGGAGACAGTAACTGTCCCTGGGAAGGGACGTGATGTCATACAGTCTGCCCTCCCGAGTCTCCATTTTCTTCGGGGGAGCTGATATCGAGAGGCTTGAGATCAGCTAGAATCCTGGATAAATTCCAGGACCCATAGGGAGGCCGGGAACCCCAGGCAGAAGCAGCCTGCAGAACCAGCAGCAGAAGCAACAGGACTTCTATTTGCTCGTCCCAGAGAGAAAACTTTAAGAGCAGGAAAACATTAAACAGAGCCCGGCAGGATCAGGCCAGCGGTCCACATAGTCATAGAATCACAGAATGTGAGAGTTGGAAGGGACCTTGCAGGTCATCTAGTGCAGCCCCCTGCACTCTGCAGGAGCACAGCCAAAAGATAGCCCTGCAACAGACCCGAAAGATGGTCGTCCAGCCTCTGCTTGGAAACGTCCAGCGAGGGAGCCTCCACCACCTCCCGAGGCAGTCTGTTCCACTGCTCAACCACTCTGACAGTTAGGTTCTCCTGATATTTAGCTGGTAACGACTCCCTTGTGATTTCCACCCATTAGATCTGATCTTGCAATCCGAAGTAAGAGAGAATAGATCTGCTCCGTCTTCTACATGACAGCCCTTCAGATATTTGAAGACTGCAATCTTGTCCCCTCTAAGCCTTCTCTTTCCTAGGCTAAACAGACCCAACTCTTTCAGCCTTTCCTCCTAAGACTTGGATTCCAACCCTCTCACCATCCTGGTTGCCCTCTTCTGGACATACTCGAGCTTGTCAACATCCTTCATGGTGCCCAAAACTGGACACAGGACTCCAGGTGAGGCCTGACCATAGCAGAATAGTCCAGCATCCTGTTTTGCACAGTGGCTGCCCAGCTGCCCCGGAGGGCCAACAAACCCCACACAGAGGGCAAGGCCTTCCTTCCCCTGATGCTGCTTCCTAACATGGGGATTTAGAGGTTGACTGCCCCTGAACATGGAGGTTCGCTTTAGTCACCGTACATAGTATCCAGCGACGGAGCTTTCCTCCATAAATCTGTCTATGTCCCTTTTAAAGTCATCTACGGCTGTGGACATCAACATATCCTCTGGCAGCGAATTCCACATTATCATCACTCATCGAGCAAAGACGTATTTCCTTTTGTCCGTCCTGATCCTACTGCCCGTCAGCTTCATTGGATGCCCCGAGTTCTAGTATTCTGGCAGAGGGAGAAAAGGCTCTCGCTGTCCACTCTTTCTATCCCGTGCATAATTTTATAGAGGGCGCCTGCCTCAAGAACTTTGGTTTGAGGCTGAATTGTCTGCCCTATTGGGCTGTCTCCCCACAGCTCCTGCCTGGGCTGAGTCCCCCAGCATCACTCCGGCCACCGGATCAAGAGGCGTGCTCAGCTCCCAAGACTATGCAGCCGCCATTTGGTGCCTTCCACCAATGCAAGGACCCAACAGACTCTGTCGTTAGCAGAACCAGCCCTTATGGGTAACACAGAAACTAGGGATGGGCACAAACTGAAAAAAATGTGTTTGGTTCATGGCTGAGCCACGAACTGAACCAAACCAGGCTTGTCCGCGATTCACGGCCCTGCAAACCCCCTTGAAAGGGACCACAGTCCCTTTAAATTGGGTTTGTAGAAAGCCACACAAACAGCCGAGTGGCTGAGAGGTGCTCCCTGCGTCTCAGTTGCTTTTCAGGCTGTCTTCTGCAGTCCCTTTAAAGTTTAAAGGCACTGCACAAGACAGTCTGAAACAGCTTGAGAGGCAGGGAGCACCTCCACCCCACTCAGGTTTAAAGGGACTCAGAGTCCCTTTAAACCCCTGCTTTCTGATCCATCCACTAACCACCACAAACTGCTTTAGAAGTTCGTGGAAGTTCATGGCAATAGACCTGTTATGAACTCCTGTTCGCGAACCGCAAACAGGGCAAAATTCGCGACAAATTTTGCTTCATGGTTTGGTTCGTGCCCATCCCGAACGGAGACCTTCCCTGGCAGCCTCTAGACACACGCTAAGCGGGACGTTAACGGCTCCCGCCAATCCCAGGAAAGGGTGGTGTTCTTTGCCACACTCAACTCGCTGCACGGAAGAGGGCGACGGGGCTGCCGCCTCATGGAAAACTGTGCTCCGTAACGGCTTTGTAAAACGTAACCGAAGATCTAGAGCTGCTGTCTTTTTTTGTAAAAAAACAAAAAAAAACCCCTCAACAAAAATCATATTAGGTAAAACAAGAATGAGGAATTGTTCCTGTCCCTGAACACCGTGTT